CTGCCATGGGCAGGGATGCCATCCACCACTGTCACTTTGGTCAAAGCACCCTCCTCCAACCAGGTCTTGAGTTATTGTAGCTGAATTCTGCCATAACTTCCCGTGTGCTTAAATATTGTCATACTCTGATTAGATACATTGATACCCTGGTATTTTAAAACTCATGGTAGGATGCATTATTGCAAATAATATTCTCCTGTCACACTGCATTTCATTCATAGATCTATAATTGCCTGCATTTTAATTATGAATATGACAACTCCTTGGTGTGGTACTTATACTTTATAACATAGTTTTAAATAATTCTGTTCCCTTCATTCAAAATGTTTAGATCTTCACTAAAGAATTGCTTGTAAGTGTTGAAAACTTCAAAGTTGCTGTACATTTTATCAGCATTCCTTGAGGCTTAGTTGGTACAGAAGTAGTGGGTTCAAATATGGCATTGAAAGAGTCAGATCAGGTGTGCAATCTGACTAATAAAATCTGGAGGATATTTCTGGTTTATGAATAACTTCTACTCAAGTGAAAAGACACGTTACCCCTGTACTACTGATGGTGGCAGGCTGTAGAACCACTCTGCTCTTTGAGATACTTTTCAGTGCAGACCATCTGCTTTTACTGTCTTGCTAATGATTATTCAACTAACTTAATATCTTCCATGTCAACTACTTTAAGCAAAGACCCTTGTGATCCTGAGATGTTACTTACAAGGTTTTGTAAGAACTTTTGTCTTCATGCTCCTTCTGAAGGTGTTTTAGCAGCAAAATTTCTGGTGTGATAGTAACCCTGCATCTGTCCTTGGTGTTAAGCTGATCAGCAGCTTTGGCATTAGGAGGAAATTTTTCTATAGGGCACACAGGAAGGGGTAGTTGTTTGAAGTTTTTCCTTGCTTTTGATGCTTCTGAGAATTTTCTTGGCTTTTGAAGTGAGCAATGTGATGGTGATAACTTCTGCCCCTCTCCTGATGTGCTGCAATCATGGCCGTAGCCCTTACATTTATGAGACATTCTCATTCTGCAGCTGATGGTATACGAGGAACTGAAATTTCCAAGACCATGAGTATTGCCTGGTGCTAGCAATATCACACCTTAGAAAACACTAAAAGAAGACCTCTCATTTTTCCCTTGCTTGCTTGTCATTCCTGGAGGTGATCAGACATGTCTCCTGGAGTCGTGCCATTCTGAAGGATACCCTCTCTGTCCTAGTTTGACCCTTAATTTAGGTGCTGCAGGTTGGTAATTTTCTCTAGAGGTAATTTTCTCTGGAGCTTCTTTAGTCTGTGGAGCACAGTGTGAGCTGTTGCAGGGGAAACTATGTTATTTTCTGCGGAGAGTTATTTTCTTTTCTGAGCATCCAAGCAACCCTGTGAGACCTCTCAAGCATCTTGTAGCCTCTGAAGTTATGGAGTATGAATACTTCTTTCTCTGATGCTCAGTTTAATGACTGACTTTGCAGCATTGGTTTAATGGTTCTGGCTTCACATGCAGAGCCAGAGAGCAATTGTTATTTCAGAAGCTAATTTTGTCTGGGAAACAAAAAATGTTTGTTGTAACTCAGTGACATTAACACAGATTTTTAGATTATGAAATAAAAATAGCTGTTTCCAATGGAAGCAGCAGACATTAACATAGAAATTAGATGAGTGATATATGCCCTAGGAAAAGTATTGTTTTCAGCATGAGAGTATACTAGTACTTGTTTATCCAATCTCGATTAGCTTGCAGCATTACCACAATTCAATTAGCAACTTTTTCAACATGGCTTTTCTTATGTTTGTGCATTATGCACCTGTATATGCTCAATAATAATTTATAAGTGAGGTGGAGAGTTGCTTGTGTTTGAGGAGGTTTGTTTTGGTGTGGGTGGTTTTCTGATGTTTGTTTTGCTTGTAATTTTTTTGTGTTTGCTGGCAGGCCTGGGCATAGTGGGTTTTTTTCTTTGTTTGTTTGGGTTTTGTGTTTTTTGGGGTGTTTCTTTTTTTTTGTTGTTGCTTTTTTTTTGTTTGTTTGTTTTTTTTTTGTTTTGTTTTGGTTGGTTGGTGGGTTTTTGTTTGGTTTTTTTTTTTTTTTTTGGTTTTGGTTGGGGTTTTTTTAAATGAAGATTCTTTTCTAAGCTGGGTAGTTAGAGCTTTGCTGAGGAGGCAGCCTGGGGACCGAGTGCTTCCTCAATACATGAACAGAGCACCCCACCTGCCAGTTTTGCCAAGCTGTCACCTCACCAATAAAGCTACTTGCTAAATAACTATAAAAGGTAATAAAACATTTTTATTAGTAATAAGAAATACTTTTCTGGGGAGAAATTGAGAAAACAATGACTTGATTAAAATATTTATTGAATCAAGAGATTTTTGAGACATCTTTAAGACCTAAAGGTATATTATATATGAAAAAACAGTGGCATAGTCCATTTTATGTATTACACCAGTGGTGCAGTGTTGCTTAAAAGAAATAAAACAATTCTCACTTCAACGCTTCTAATTTTAAGCTAGCCTGGCTTTGCATGTTAACAGCATTTTTCTCCAACTTCTGTCTGCTCTCTTGTCAATGCCATCTGCTTGCTTTATTCACCAACCAGGTGATTTTTGCCATCTTCACCCTCCTCCTCAATATGCCCAGCAGTCCCATTTGGGTTTATGGGGTTAGTGTGCTAAGCAATAGTCATATATTTATGTAAACATGCTCCTGATTCTAAAGAACCTTTCTCCATTTCTAGCTCAATAGCTTCTAAATCTTCCTCTGTTGGGGCATACAGCTCTGAATTATTTTACTGGTGTGTAATCTCTTGTTATGCCAGCTGGTTTTGTTGATCTGTAATGTATTCATTTATCCAATAGATTCTACTGTAGCAAAGCACTTAATTTTAAGAGTGCAGGTAGACTTGGCGTGAAAAGAATGTAATTAGCTCAAAGCTAAGCACTTGCCTAAATGCTTTGCTGGATTTGAGGCTTAGGAAAGAGATGAAAAGATTGGTCTAATTATGTTGAATTTGTTTTAGAGCTGCTTTATCCTAATAGCCTTATCACCAGACCACTTCTGATTATGGATTTTCAGTGTAGAAGACTTTTCACATCTTGTCAGGCTTTTCATAGAATCATAGCTCTCTCTGGGTTTTTTTGAACTGTAATCTTCAGCATGGCCTGCATAAGAAAATGTATCACTGCCTCTTAGGAAAGTGACTTAGGGAAGCCATGTCTTAAAAAATTGGATGTTGAAGGCAATGAAAAACTCATGTCACCAGTTCATTTGATTTTCACATATAAGATGTGCAAAATATATATTCTTTAGCTACTGCAAGTTCAGACTGCTGTAGCCTAAAGAATAAAGGTGTCAGTAAGACCAGATTGATCAGGAAAAAGAGAAGGAAATTGATAAAGCAAATTGCATTAATTAAATTCTGCTCTGATATTGATTTGGGCTGAGCTATTGTTAGAACTATTGGGGAAAAAAAAGAAGGACGTAAACCACTGAAAATAAAAACTGAAGAATCTTCTAGCTCTTACCTGGTGGTGTTTGCCTTCTTCCATTCCTAAAATCTGTGTGCACTCACTCTCATAGATGTCGGGGAGATTTTTAGGATTTGGTTTAACTCATGTTCACTGAAAAACTGCCCTAAATCTACAGTTGCAAGAATTACTGCTTCCTCAAGACAGAGCTTAGCTGGACTGGGGTTTTGCTTTTCCCACTGCTGTGTGGCCAGTGGGCACACACAGCACACATTACTGAGACCAGAAAGCCACATAGTAGGCCCAGGTGTTTTCAATGAAAAGGACATTTGTTGAGTTGCCTTTGACAATCCTTCCTCTTCTGTAGTGTTTAGCTTGGATGTCTTGTCATTTCTGAAGGCACAGCAAGCTCATCATGGAATTCCCACCATGCCGTTTCTTGTGTGCTATTTTTCAGAGGCAGGGTTATACTGCGGTTGTCTTTCCCCACTTGTTCCTGCTTACTCCTGAATGAATTTTTGGCATCTTTATCAAGGATGGCACTTGGGCAAATGCTTAATTTGATTGCACTGCATAGACACAAAGATAGAAAAGGTCTTAGACACTCTTGAAAAAGTGTGAGTTGAGGCAGATGTTTAGTGCTTTCGAAGATGCAAACCACATAAGTGCTTTCTCAGAAAAATTATTCATCATTGTTTTTTTACAATATAGATCATGATAGGGAGAAGGAGGAGAAAAGGACACAGCCACATAGTGATAGGTTTGTAACAGCTTCTCTGGGCAATAGAGGGCCCCAGGCTTTTGCCTTCCTTCTATTTTTTAACAGGCTCAGGACAGACACTAGTGGGTAGTGAGAAGCTCCCAGCTGTTTGCAGCTCTGTCCTGCCTTGTTGTGAGCCCTTGTCCACTTTTTCTCTTTTTGCTTCCATGTCTGTTTACAATACAAAGGCTGGTAAGGTGAGGACTGGCTCTTGCTCTGTCTTTGACCCTGCCTGCCAAACCCAGGGGACTTGCTGCCCTCTGACATCTCAAAATGTATCTGCAATACAAGTAATTGTTAAGAAATTTCTCTCTTGTCACTCAGTCATCTACAATTTGGGATTCTCAGTGTACTGGAGACTGACTAACCGCTCCACCATCAGCATGACAAAGTCTGGCAGGTCTGTCTGTAGACAGTTTCAGGTTCTCTGTGCAGATAGCACTGGTATTTTCAGTGATGGATCAGGTGCTGAAGACTTGACCTTGTCTACCTTGTGGACACTGTTGAAAGGTCTCAGAAGTGTCTCAAGTGAAAAATTCAGGCAGAAGCCTGCAGTTCCAGTAGAGCATTGGAAATGATGGTTTGATGATGATACAGCTTTCATCACCATGGGTTATCTTCTGCCTTTCCAATATGTGTCAGCACAGGGTTTGCCCTACTTTTGGTAGTACATGAGAATGCAAGTGGACTGAGGGATGTCAGTCTTAACTTACATGTATTGTGAGCTATGTCCTCAGCTGTGAAGCTGTATGCATATTGCTTTCTGCCTGACATCAGTTTTCTTTTTGTCTTTTGCAGCACTTTTACAGGCAGTCATATCTGGTGATGTACTGAAGGTAGGTACAGAGCACTGAGTATCCACTTACACACAGTTTTTTGCTGGTCAGATATAATGTACATTTTATTACACCGCTGCTCAAATCATAAATAGGCTGCTGTGGGGACTTCTAGCAAGTGCCATTTTACAGCATTTCCAGGAAATCCTGAACACCAGGGGAACACATAATTCAGGTGAGGTGTGAAATTTGCATGAATAGGATTTGGTGTTAGCCAGAGCCTTTTTGCCCAGGATTCAGAGCCCACTGCACAGAGCAATGTGCCAGTCACTAACAGGGAAATTACTGTATTGGCAGTGTTGAACAGCAGGGTAATTCTGACACAGCATTACACAGGAAAGCATATTTTCCACCAGTGAGGTTGGTGGCCAAGACCCTAAGCACTAGCTCGCTCAAAGTCTATCTAGGCAATCACGAGACCAGGTAGAACAAACCTCAGCTGGTTGTTTTATCACCTGATGGATGTCTCAAAACATGTAGTGCCTTGGTATAGTAAGTTTGGGAGGCAAAACTACTCATGCAATTTTTTTTTGTGCCAATGACTGCAGTCCCGCATCAGACAGCTGTTCAGGCTGCCTGTCTCAGTAGCCAAGTCAGGATCTGAAAACATGCTCTCGAATTTGGATGAGGACTGTGATTAATGATAGCAATTTTATCTGTGAGAAGCCAGCTTGGAGCCATTTGTAAAAATGACAGTGCTGTTAGGCCAACTTTTTGCCTGCAGGTATTTTGCCTCCCTTCTCTACCATTGCCTCAGCTCTTGTGGCTGCAGCATCTAGGGAGCAGTCCTTCAAGTAGTCATAACAATGTTGTCTCCTTTACACTTCTTGAAAATGTTTTGCCTGAGCTGGCTTTGATGGGGAAACTCCTCGTCCTTCTTCAGATGTGCTGCATCATAATAGAGTCCTCGCTGTAGCAATTCTCTCCTTTTTCTGCAGTGATCTGCACTGCAAATCCCACCCTCCCTCCCCCAAAGTTTGCAGCATTTCTGAGACCTCCCTGGTTGCTGTTTCCCTCTTATTCTTACCCCATGTATTGCTTCCTCCTTGGCCAGCCCTGAACAGGGTGCACTGTGACAAGGGAGATCCATGACAGTCACCTCATCTCCTTGTGAAATTCTGAGTTGGAGTTTTCTTATATAGTCAGAAAATATTTGACTCCTGTGCTGAGGAAAAATTTGAGTCTTCAGCAAAGAAGCCAGAATTTTCTATCAAGTACATATATTTTAATATATCCCAACAACATTGCCAGATATGGTTTGCAAGCATTCCTAGCAAGCAATAAATCATCACCAGTAGAGTAGCAATGTCTCCTTGTTTAGGAAATACAGACTGTTCTCTTTACCCATATAATTGTCAATACTTCTGGTTTCAGATGTTTTATATCAGGGCCTAAAAGCTAGCTTTAAATTAATGTTTTATTTTATTTTATTTTATTTGGTACTGACTTACAATGAGAACCAGTAAAGAATTTACTGATATATTTGTTTTTTTACTCCTCCCATCTTATAATTCTGTATGGGTTTTTTTTTTTTCCTCTCTCTTTTTTTTGTTTCCTTCCAGTTCATAGAATGTTGTAAAAAAGGAGCCAATTTGTTAATCCAAGGACCTGATCACTGCTCCTTATTGCACCACGCAGCCAAGACTGGGAATGGCGAGATTGTGAAATACATCCTGGAGCATGGTGAGTCCCTGGGGCAGATCCTCAGAGAGCTGCACCTCAGCCCAGTGTCACTCAGGCAAAACCACACCTGGCTGCGGGAGGTGGGCTCACTCATCTGTGGTGCCCCTCAGTGGAATGTCCACCTGTAGCATGTGTGAGCAGGAGGCTGGGAATGGAGTAGCAATGAGAGTGATGGCTCCAGGCAAAGTGTGAAAAGAAGAATTAGAATGGCTTTTGAGGAGGATGATATTTTCAGGTTTGCATCAGCTGGGGGGCTGTGAAGAGGCAGTGTGAAGCTTTAGTTAAAACCTCTGGCACAGGGATCCTCTGAATTGTTTTTCAATTAGAATGTATGTTGTAGAAAGCATCTAATCTCTATTAAAACATTTACAGTGACAAAGAGCCCATACAACCATTGTTATTATTTCAGCATTTAGTAACATGCTGGTCAGGAATCTGCTTCCTTACTTCGAGACAAATTCATCTATCTTCCATTCCAGCCTTAGAATATTATGTCTGTTAGATTCAAGACCACCCAACAGCAAAAACCTATGATCTCCATTTTGTATTTATGGACTGTCATCATGCTATTGCCCTTTTTTCCTTTTCATGCTTCTTATCTTTGTCAGTAGATTACAGGCTATGCAGCATTTTTTTTTTTGCGTCTGAGGCAGTCACATTTAGGAGCTTCTGCCTGTTGAACCACTGCAACTTTGTTCCCTCACTGCTGGAGAGTGGCACAGTAAAATAGTCACTGCTCTGCACACAGAGCTGGAGTCAGAGTTATCAGCCTCCTTCCTGTAGGAAAAGTTTTCTCTTCTCTGACCCCACTTCAAAATATCAGTGGCTAATTTGGCTTCTGGATGTCAAAATCAGCTACATTATTTCAGCAGCAGTGTTAGTGTGAACACAGAGACTGCCCCTGGTAATTAGAATAAGTGTTAGCTGTTGCTCCAAGGTATTGCATAAATTGTACAGAGAGAAGAAAAAAGCACAGCTCCTAAGAAAGGAAGAAGCAACAATGCATCTCTTCAACCTTGACCCCTAAGTTAGGTATTAACTTATGGGTGTCAGGTATTCTATAGGTCCAAGTTCCTGTACTGTCAGCAGCAATCTGTAACTTAGTTCATTTGCTCTGATGTGACAGAGGCACTTTTGGTGGCAGATGGAAGTGAGGAGGGCATCCTTAATAGCAGCAGGCTTCTAGCATGACTAACTCAAAGGACATCTTAGTCAAGGTAGTCATTGGAGCCCAGAAAATGATTCAGGCAAGAGTTACATGTGCATTTTATTCATTTAGATAAACATAAATGTCTGATGTCATTTGCCCTTGGATATCCAGGACATTTGCTTGGGTCTACAAGATAGCACACAAGGCCCAGAGGAGGTCTGACCTGCACTGACAGCCAAAGCCCAAGCAAGCATCTCCATCATTCCAAGTGCATCCCAAGGCTTGCCTCATGGTATATCAAAAAGCACAAAATATCTGGGTGTGGGCAATGGAACCGTGCCCTAAAAATCTGAGAGGGCCTGAATTGTTCGTTTACTCCTTTATGTATAGATACCTACACATGGATAGGGCAGTGCAGTTGGCCTTATATCCAAATAATGACCAGTTTTCTCACCAGTTCTAGCAAACCTTACCAGTGCTCACTCTGCCTTACATTTACCTGCTCTGGATTGTTGCATTAGTCATAGTGCACACATGTGCTACTGAATTCTGTAGACAGGCATAATTTTGCTTTATTTTATTACTGCCCCTGATGTCTTCTCACACTGCACATGACCTGTGCCAATTCATCGATGCCTCTCTAGGATTTTTATTGAACACGTATACTTTAACTTAGTGACAGTCTGACCTAATTACTGTTCCTTTGGTGAACATTTAAAGTGAGAAAATTTAAACTAATAAGATTGTAAGCAGGGAATCCATGGGAATTTTTGAAGCAAATAGAGAAATGTAAGGGATTACAGACTGTTAGACAAAGACAAATCAGAAGGTTGAGCAAATGTCAGCTCAGTTCCTCTCTCCCTTCTTTATCCCCAAGGATGGCAGGAAGCTTTTGCAGCTTTCCAGACATATGTCCTCTGGGCTTCTCCAAACACACTGTTTAACATTCTCTGGGGATCAGGGAGAGCATGGGACAATGCACAATCTAATAGAGGCGCCCGCTCTTCTTCCACCAAGCAATTAATGAAACTCATTTCTACTCTGGGCACTTATCAGCCACAAATGAGCTCTCTTGCTGAATCATCATCATCATAATGCCCTTGTTTTCTTTGCATTCGCTGGCATTTGGCATCTTCTCAGCATTAATTACTGTACATGACCTGATCCTATGCTACTAATATCTAAGGGTTTCCCTGTGTGGAGCTTCTTGTTTCTGCCAATATCCACCCATAAAAATTTCATAAAAATGAGTCTTACTTCTGTTCTGGCAATTACCTCTGCCCAGTCACACTTCCTCTGGATTCTGTGTGCTTCCCAATATACGGCTGAGGATAGTGAATGATAATAGGAGTTCCACTGTAAAATACCCTCAAGCACACAGCAAAGAAAATCTATTATTAACCACACAGGGAAAAATCTTCTGAGTATCGCTAAAAAACAACAGCAAAAAAAGAAGACCAAACCCACTTCTCCAGGAACTTTAACTTTCTAGTTTGAAAAACAGTGGGATAAATCCAGTGCAATACAGGAGTGGCACTCATAGAACTAGAATTACAAAGGAAGGAAAATGCTGTAGTGGTGCTAAAGCTGTCCTTTGTGAAGATGGTCTATTCTGCAAACATGCAGGGCACATTTATATGAAAGGTTATTCTGTGATCACGATCAGAATTATTTCAGATGTTAAGGGGAGGAAAATAACCTGCCTTAAATTAGAAATAGCAGGGGTGAGTCACACATGGGGACTGCTGTGCGGTGCCTCCAGATAATTTGCAGTGGCCCAGCACAAGCCAGGAATAGCAGCTGAAGCACCAATGTAGTAGGTGTCAGGACAACAGCTGCTTGCTGCCGCAGGAAGAGTTGTGCTGGCTGCTGCTTCTGTAAAACAGTTTGTGTCTATCCCCTGTGCAGGAAGGGCAGATACATAGAGACACAGATCTATCACTCATTCAAGATTGCCCACCTAAATCAGGAATCTTTCGGTTTTAGTAGAAGGGTCAGCTTTAAGAACTTGTCTGTAGCTGAGGTAAGAAATGCTTAGCTAGAAACTGTGGGCCAAACTCAGTAGGTATCACAATCACAGCTTTTTAATGCTGCAGTCAGCAACTGCATTGCATCCTAATGCATGTACATTAGAGAAGAGTTAACTGTCTACTTGCTTAACACAAGCAGAATTAAGGAAGGCTTAAGAACCTCTGTTAGAAAAGGGGCCTCCTAAATCACCTGTATTTGGTATCAGACTTGGATTGGAGTCTTTATTTGGCAGCTGTGAAAAGTTTGTAATTTATAAGCATTATACAAATAATTCCATTTGCCTTGTCTTTGTCTTCTCTAGACATTCAAAAGACAAGCAAGAATTGTAAAGTTCATCTATGGCATTTTGATTTTAAACAGAAGAGAGGAAAGACGTTTACAGTTGCCTTAGAGGTTGTGGTGGGAATTTCTGCTGCAACAGACAATATGTAGGGCATCCCATCCTTAACATTTCTGTGTCCTCAAACCTCAATGTCCTTGCTTCAATAGAAAGCATCCCCTGAATAATAAAAAAAAGATGACGCTTTCATTAATCTTAGCGCTGCAAAGTCCAGAGCTAAGAGCCATCAGTGAATCTGGATTTGCATCCTGACCAGATTCAGAAGTTCCTTGGATAGCTTTGGGAAAGCAAATTTTCCTGTGACAGGGATGTGTGTCGGAGACAAAGTTTGAATAGTCGTCGGAAAGCAACACAATGAGAGAGAGTTTGCATGACACTTGTTAGTAGGCCTAGATTTGCAGAATGTTTTATGGTAGTGGTCATTTGTGAGGGGCCTGAACAGAAAACAGTTTAATTTTTTTCTGGAAGGCACAAGGTGTAACATAGCCTGTTTTAATTTCAAGCATACCAAATTTTAGGGTAATGTGGCTGACCGACATGTAGGAACCTGTACATGTACATGTACAACCTGTCTAGCCTCTATATTACAGTGGAAATTCTGAGCTAAAAGACACTAGCAGAAAAGACCACTGTTAATTTTCCCATCAGGTAAAAAAAAAAAAAATAAAGTGTGGTGTTGGGGAAAGATTAGAAATAGTTCTGAATTTCCAGTTTACTGTTATTTTAAAAATACTCCTATTTTGAAGGTAAGGATCCACATCCAGTTTTGTCTCCCAGATAATAACCCCAATCAGGTTATTAACAAAGAGGGTTTTGACAGATAAATATCCAGAAATGTTGATAATGTCTGACATTACTGCTTAGAGTTAATACCCTTCTTCCTCAGTTCTATGAAGGACTGACAGGACACAGGACTGGCAGGGGTTAACATCTGTGGGTCTCCTGTGGGTATCGGTAACCACATCATTTGGAGAGGGCTAAGCTGTGGGCTCAGAGGCCGTTCAAGAATGTGTAGAGCTGTATATTTTGGAAATGCCTCTGAAATATGGTCACCTAAAGTGTTGGGTTTTTTTTTTTTTTTTATTGTAGTGAGCTTAGTGAAGGAGCAGCTGCTTTTGAGTCTCCTTGCCCTCCCTCCTCCCATACCCAGCCCAGGCTGCTTTGCCTTCTGAGAAACCGGAGAAGGGCTTTGGTGGAGCGAAAGAGGGCAAAAGGAGAGAAGGAAAAAAGTTAATAATTCTACACAGACAGTCTATGGGTGCTGTTGAGGAAAGAGAGTGATCTCAGCTGGGCTTCCCCTCAGTGTGTCATGCTTTTCAGCTCTTTTCAAGTGAATATCTCCCCCCACCCAGTCCCCCATCCCCATCCTGCCATTCTTCAGCCCCCCAGTCTCTTTTTCCCTTTCTCTCTCTATTTTTTTCCTCCCTCCACCTCTCCACACATTTCTATCTTTTGTTTTTATTTCCCCCCCTGCTGTTTTCCTTGATAGAAATCTCACTCATGCATTTCCCTTCCGGATTTCTATTGGGTTATTTTGTCCTCTTTCTCTCCGTGCCTTGGTCCCCTTTTCTTTCTCTGCCTCTTGTCCCAGAGTGAAACAGCCGCCTCCCTGCTGGGTCAGGATGACAGTGCCGTTAGCTTTCCCAGTGCCAGCCCTTCCCACATCTGTGCAGCTTTTGTCCCCGGGCAGAGGGGGATTTGGAATGGTCGGTTGGCAGCGCCAGGGAGACTGATATAAAAATGAGGTCCAAAAAAGAGGGGAAAGGGAATTAGGAGGAGGGCGTGAGATGGTTTAAGAGAAGGACAAGTGAAAATAAAATAAAGAAGTAAAGGGCACTGCTCAGGCTGTGAGTTGGGACATTCCAGCTTCAGAGACAGGCCAGAGAGAATGAAATTAAAGCATCCTGGTACCATGTCATGCAGCTAATTATTAACACCAGTATCTGGCCCTTACGTACAACTCAGATGGAGTCAGGGTTCTCCCATGAAATGCTTAATTTGGGACAGCATCCAGGAGAGCACCCTTGGCACTTAGGGGAGGTGTACTTGTCATCTCCTCAGGTCTGTATCACAGACTCCCTTCAGGGTCCTCAGCACTGAGCTCCTCTGTCCTAGCCCTGCTATTTCTTTCTGCTTCACACCAGTTTTCCATTACCCTTGGCTTCTCTCCAGACCCACTCTGCCCCAACTTTCTTCTCCCTCTCAGGTCATATTCTTCTGAATATTCTCTATTTTACTGCCTTTACTTACCTTTTAACAGCTTCTTCCGCTTACCTGAGCAAGTACCTCTATGTCCCACAAAGCCAGACCTGTCACCCTGCTCCACCTTGGCAATATAACCTTCCTTGGTCCAACCATGAGCGGAAATAATAGGTGGCAGTGTCTTCTATAACACATTGCAAGCCATTCCTGCTTACCTATCACTGAGATGTGGCATTGCAGGAAGCTAGGGGAAATTACTTTTATTTTTGAGAGAACACGATTTTCTCCTAGGAAATATAAAGGACTCATTTTCTTCATGTGTATTTCTTTAATTGTCTTTTTAGTTTCTCAGTCATTATCTTTTTTCCTCTCAACAAGAGGCTCTGCTTATCCCCCTTTATCCTTCTTCGTGGTCCTGGGAGCTCAGGGGTAGTGACTGATTCTTCTTTTTGATAGGCAGGAGTGAACACACAACTGCCAAGTATGGAGATGAGAATGTGTGGTGGTAGAGTCAGGCTGCATTCAATAGTTGACAGTGGCTACTGAGCTTGGAGAGCTGTCATGGCAAGTATGCAGTGGTACACAAAGCCCTGTGCACTGAGGACTAAGCACCATCGTTTTTCTCATGATGGCAGAAGATGAAATGAACGAGATGCCTGCCGCTCAGGAGCCCCAGTGATACTTCATGTGTACATTGTAAAAGCAGTGAGGTAAAGACAGGCTGCTCTGATCCATTTTGACATACACTCAGACTAAAAGGAGTGTAGAGAGGTTGTGTGTAGGCCTTTGTAAGCCAGTAGTGTGAAATTCCTCACTTTCAGGTGAGATTTGCTGTAAGCTCTTGAGGACTCTTGAATTTCAAAGTCACAGCGTACTGGAGAGAAATACTCATGCGCAGGAAGGAAGTCTTGTAAAGTTTCCCTGTTCCCCTTGCTAACTGCCCTATACCATCTAACACTACACTCCAGAGCAGGGGAGAGAAGAATACTATGACAGACTGCAAAGGAAAAGTTATTTTTTTTCAAGTGATATCCAGATCCTAGCCTTTCCATATTACTGTAATTCAGCAATGGAATTTGCCTCTACAAATATCTGCCTTGTAGTGAATATCAAGGACATAAGGACATTAACATAAATGTATTATTTTTTTCCCCACTTAACAAAAATCTTTTCTGTTTTTCTTAATCTTACTTTCCTGATCATTGCTAACCAGTAGAGTACAGGATTTGCATATCAATATAAAGACCGCTGGGAATTTTCCACCCTGATCTACATTTTGTATAATGCTACTAAATGGAGTAGCACAGGGATGTCATTCAGGATGGAATTTGGCTAATTTCAACTTCCTAATGACATTTTCCCTCTAATGCCAACAATAGATTTTAACTTGCAATATATCAGGGTTTCCAGTATATCAGCATTTTCAATGTACTGTACTTATGTGAACCACTTAATTGAGCAAGGTGAAGAGTGAGAAAATAAACTCCATGAATATTCATTCCCAGTATAATTTAGAGGCTGCTACTCCCTGTTGCGGACACTCCAGCAGCGACTGTGCATTCAGAATTTTATTAGTGCAAGGGCTTACACGAGCATATATTACATTGAAGTTTGACATATTTTGCAGGCTGAGCTTTCACTTGGCTTCTTTTATATATTCTTTACTGGGAATCTTCTCCTGGTAGACATATTTTTTGACGCATGCAGACAAATGCTTTATGACATACCTGACTGTCTTTTGCAGGTCCATCTGAATTACTGGACATGACAGACAGTGAAACGTAAGTACAACCTACTCTGTCCTCCACATTATGTGTGTTAAACTAGCAGACTCTTGGTTTTCAAGTGCAAACTGTTAAAAAGGAAAAAGCTTGTAAAATGGCACAACTCTTCAAAACCAAACAAACAAACAGAAGGCCCCCTAAAAACCACACACCAACCACCTCATATGTGGCTTTCTTGCCTAAAACAAACATTCATTGGATTCACAGACGACTTTCTTCCTATTGCTTCCCATGCTTCCTTGATCTTTCTAGAGGTATAGAAGCCCTGCCATGTGTTTTGATGTTTCTGGCCTCCAGCTACTAAGGGACCAACCTGAAGAGTAAAATTCCAAAAGTCAGGAAATTACTTTTCTTACTCTACACCTTTTTTTTCAGTCCCTTCTTGATTCATCCAGGGTGCTCTGCCTTAGCTCTCCCAAGTGGCCAGGACTTGTGCAGTTGAATGTTTCCATCAAGGGCTTAAAACATCAATCACCTCCATTTTTGTTAAAAAACAAAAAAAAAAAACCAAAACAAAACCAAAAAAACAAAAAAAAAAAAAAAAAACCAAAAAAGCCCCAACCCAACCCCAAAAAATTACTTTCCTTTCCAATTCCCAATTTTTTTTACACCTTGTATAATCAAAGTTTCACCAAAGTATGTAAGGGAAGCATGAATAATCCTGGAAAATATGTGTAATACATATGAAATAAAACCAGTCTTTTTCATAGGGATCAAGCCTACCATTTCTCATCCCACAGTGCCCTCCCCTGCTAACAGAGAACACCTTTTGCACAAGGTGCATGAGTGAAGTCCAGAGGTGACAGGGACTGGATGGACTGCCTAGTTCTTTTCATCCAGGGTTGTAGCACAACCACATCAAGTGTCAGTGAGCACAGCTATGAGGGCTTCCCCTTACAGAGGTTCCTCTACCTCTAACCCTAGGAAAGGGAAGGTCCAAGCTGTAACTGGCAGTATGAATTTTTCTTTTGATCCTCAGCGGGAAATAGAATGCTATCATATTCTGACACTAGCTCTTATGCAGCAAGGGCGTATTGATTACAAGGTTGCCTCTTGATATTTCAACATCCTCTGTCATGGATGGGGGCTGAGATTTCCTTACGCACTCTGTGTAGGTAGTTGCAAGATTTGTCCTACAACATGTATTTCTTATAATTTGTTATTTCATAGCATAGGTTATGTAATGGCCCTACTTGTTGGATACTGGCATTAAGGACTCCTTCTCAACCCACTCAAAGCATACTTTCCTCTCTTCCTGGCCAAATCTAGATAGACTTCTTTACTCTCAGTAAAGAGTAAGTCAGTTTCAGTCAGTTTTAGAATCCTGTCAGACTTAGCTCCAGTCTGAGTGAGAAGGTTTGCAATAAATGTGCTCCCACCACACTGTCTTCTCTTCTGAAAAGCATGAATTTAATCTTCCCCAGTACCTCAGCAGTCCAGTGGTGGAAAACACATGAGAGTTCTTGCTCTCATACATCCAAGAGAGCAGAGTATCAGAACTGGTGCAGCAAGTGCACCAGTCATAGCTTTGATGAGTAGGATTTTTCTAGGATGGCTCCAAGAATGAGGTTGAGGAAAGAAATTGCAGGAAGAAACAAACCTTGTTGCTGTTTCACCTGCTGTGAAATAAGAAGGTGGCTAGCTTGCCTTTGCAGCAGTTAACAGAGCTGGTGGTTGGATGAGAATGTGACATTCAGTCCTCTGAATACATAAAATCTGTCAATGTTTCTTTCCCATCCCTCAGAAATTCTTCATCTACTATTTGTGCATTGCAGGCTTTCCTACTGAGTCAAAAGATGTAGATGCTAAGGGAGAGAGTGCACATGGCTACCTCTGCCAGCAAGAGGGAACCTTGCAGAAATGCAGCATCCTTCTGTGTCTATCCTCTGCTCCTCATGCTTCATAAATGTACATTGGTGTGCTGTGTCTCACGGCTGGTTTCTGTACTTTGGTCTAGGGGTGAGACAGCACTACATAAGGCAGCCTGCCAGCGCCACCGCGCCGTCTGCCAGCTCCTGGTGGATGCGGGAGCCTCTCTGAGGAAGACAGACTCCAAGGTAACACAGCTCCATCAGTCCCTCACAAACCCCTGTGCCGAGCGAGACCCGGCAGCATCTGTCCCTGCTCTTTGCATAACTGAGGCTTCCTTGTGTGTGCCGAAGGCAGCTCCTTTGAAGCAAGCTATTTTTATACAGAAAACTGTATTGATTTAAACAAACACAAGAGTTCAGTCCCCAACGTGGGTCACTGTCACCATAGTAAGAGCCTGGCCTCAAACTATTCGGTGCATTGGGTGTGAATGAGACATCTCCATGGCACAGCACTATCCTCCTCCTGTGTGGTCAAAAGAGAGGTCTGTGGGGAAAGACCACCTGCAGGAGCCTTGATTTCTGATTGCACAGCATCTGTGAGGCTTGGTTATTGTGGCTGGCTTGCTTTGTGAGGATGGCTAACTATTTTCTTTTGCCTTAGCTTGCCCCTATGCTCACAGTTGTGACACTAACCACAGCACTCTCTTGGTGTAAGCTTGACTGAGAAAGAAATCTGGGAAAAATGAAATCCAAGGAATATTCTGTCATTCCAACAATCTGATTGCTTAGGAGCATGGTCCAGAAGCTGCCTCTCTGGAGTTTCTGAGCACAAGCACCCTGTGGTCAGCAGCTGAGAGTGAGTTGGTTCTCTGGACTCCAGAGTCAGAAGCACCTTTTCTGCAGATGGGCAATCAAAACTAATTTTTGCTTTCTTGGGCTCTGTGAGGTAGCCTATAATGAGAAGAGAGGTCATCTATGATTCTATCATTCTTGTTCAGATGGCAGAATTTTATGTTGCAAAAAGCTTTCTGAAACAGATGAAATCCAGACAAGTGGTTTCTGACTTGTTAATCATCTTCTGCCTAGAAATCATCTGTTGTTCTAAATGTGTTAGCACAAGACTTTCTCTTCATGTTTCTTATTACAGGGTAAGACCCCTCGGGACAGGGCTCAGCAAGCTGGTGATCCAGATCTGGCCTCCTACCTGGAGAGTCGACAAAACTATCAAATGGTTTCCCATGAGGACCTAGAGACAGCAGTCTGATGTCTGAAAATGTCTGAGAGGATCCCTGGAAATCTCGAGACCACACCTGAGGCACTCGGGCATTGTGTGAGGAAGAAACTGCTGGAACCCACATGTCTCTCACTCTCGAGGAAAATACCTGAAGACATGCCACCAGTTTCTAAGGGCTACTGAGTCTTGCCACAGAACGGTTATGTTCCATTAGTTAGCCCATGATGGATGAGGTGGGACACTCAAAGGTCTGTGGAATCCACAGGCCACGAAAATTTACCTTTATTGCTTCCAGCAAGTAGCATGAACTTCTCCCATGTTCATCTGTATAATTTATTTAAAAAAAAAAAAAAAAAGGAAAGAGTAAAGAGGGTGTGGGGGAACAAAATCCAAACTAACTGGTACATTAAGCCACCCAACCAGGCTGTCCTCCATCCTTACAGTTTCTGCATTGCTTTTATTCTCCTGTTCCCCTCACTTCTCATCAGTTAAATATTACCTGTTATCTGTGTTGTCTTCACAAATGGTTAGGCAGTAGCAAAATGTTTGAGGAGCTCTGGATGCCCTTAAGAAATATCCAGTGTTTTTACCAGCTACATTCCCTCCCCGCCATCCTCTTGGAAGCTGTGTTGTCAGTACTCAGCCCCCATGGCGTTTCCTTGCTTTTGGAGAGGATGCTATTTATTGCCCTGTTTCCCAGGGTTTGCGGCATGGTCAGATTTACAGCAGTGACAAAACCTAACCTCATCGTTGCTGGGCATGCGGTTATGGTATCCTCACGAGACAGGCATTTACAAGGAAAGGAGCTCTATGGGATACACCATGCTGAATGGCAGAGCAGGAAGGCACCAGGAGGGTTTCTCATATCACTTTTATACCTGTAATGGCTGACCCAGTTCTTCTCAGGTTTCAGGCCTGCCTGAAGTTGATAGCTTCTTTAGTTCTTTACTTCTGAAAAGATGGGTTTTACCATGGGGAGAGATTTGTACAAGACTGAGGGAATTCTGATGGACTTAATGACAGACCTAGTCCCCTTTGCAGCACAGCCAGAGGGAGGAAGGAGACCTGGAACATCAGTAGCCACCCTGGGCTCATTGCTGCCTAGAAACAAATGGGCACTGGCCTGGTCACATTGGGAATAGGAAAACCTTCTTTGGCTGAACCTGTAAACTATCTGATTTTTCAAGGGCACCAAGTTTTGGGGAGTCTGTCGAAGTCTGTTCCTGGAGAAAGACAAGCAGCAGCTCATTGCCTTGTTGCCCACAATAGGTTTGAAATGTAAAGCTTAGCTGCTGTAAAGACCAGCTGTGTCTTCTGTACTCATCTGTTCTCTGTCTTATAACCATAAAGGAAGAGAAAGCAAACAAATACACAGGCATAAATAAAATGTTTCATCTTTGGATTTCTAATTGCTACAGATATCTCAGTTGACAAAATAGCAGAGCTTCCACTTCTACTTTGTCAGACCAGTGCCCATGAAGACGCTCATGGCTGACTTTTGGCATAACTCTTGCAATACATTTTTGAATTTTGCTTTGTTGTTTGATTTGAAAGATCCACCAGTGTTTGTTTTCACATCCCTTGCTAGGGGTAGCTCTCTAATAGATGGCGATCATCGGGGTTGCATACATTTGGAAACCATGAAAATAACTCAGGTCATTATTCAGATAAGTTTTTCTTCTTTGGTAGAAGTGGAGAAAATCAAATGAATGCATTTTTTTTTTAAGCACGAGTGATTGTTGTAATAGGAAAGGGGGAGCTGAACAATGTATTTTAATTTTTTTCCTCTTTTGAAAAGTTCATTTGATACAGGCAAAATATTTCTTTAGTATTTCTTCCTCTGGAAGGAAACTATATATATTTGTAATCTATAGATCAATGGCGACATGAAATGTATTTTGTCTTATTTTCTGTCTTTACCGTTCTCATTTAAAAAATAAAATAAAATATGAAAGCCAAATTACTTCCCTTGATAATTATCCAGGGACTTGTGGAGAAAATAAGTACGTGTATATATTAGAACAGAATTTGGCAACTGTTAAAATAAAAACTCAGAATATAGTTTTGGTGCGTGTGATATTTCCACAAGGAAAGATCCTCACATTGTGGTTTCATGGTAGGCCTTGCATCATTTCCCAGCTGGGAGAAAAGACATTACTGTAATATTTCTATACATTTGATGGAAACAATAATTATGTTATCATCACTTTAATCTTTTGGTTTTCTTTACTGATCTGAGAAATGGAGGAAGTTTCAATAGCACAGGAGTTTGGTCTGTCCTGTGCTGAGGCCAAGCTGAGTATAGTCACTGAGCCTGTGAGATCTCCCTGATCCTTTAGTCCCATGAAGCAGCTTGCTTTCATCACAGGTAGCCTCCAGAGGCCAGATGTGGATTATGATAAGGGAGCTGCTTCTGGTCCCTCTGCCCCCAGTTGTCCTTCCCTTGTCAGCTTATCCCTGGTACCCAGGAGGTGCTTGCAGCTGTGGCTGGCTCTGGAGAAGCTTGTCAGGATGGGCAGATTTCCTGAGCAATTTTGTGCCATTTGGACTGCTCAGAGGAACTCAGACCACTTGAGAGAGCATGGCTTGTTTTTTTCACCGAAAGCTGGAGTACGATGGTACGATCAGAGTGAGCCTGTTGAGCCTCTGGAAAGCTGTCTGTGCTGTGTGCTCAGCAGGAGACAGCTATTGTATGATAAAAATAGATAAAAATAGCCCCCAGCACTGGAGGTAGGGCAGGAATGGGCTGGATGTGGTGCCTTTGACGTCCAAGGTGTCCTGAAGCACTGCACACATGATGCACTAGATACCGGTGATGTTTGGTATCTGCAGGAAACGGAGCACATCTGATGTTTTCCACAATGACTCGTGTGGCAAGCAATATCAGAAGTTGGTTCACTGAGGGCAGTTTGGGGCCAGGACTATTCCTTGCCCTTTTCAAGTGTGGTGGGTTTACCAGAAGCAGCAGGCTCTGCAGCAGTTAAAGGTAACACATTTGTATGGAATCTCTGGAGCACTTGGGGTCTAGGTTAGTACAGTACAACTGTGCCTGCACTGGGCAGGGCCCAAATTCCAGTGTGCAGCTGGGAGTCCACTTAAGTTACATGTAAAGCATTTTGATTTACTAAAGCATCTGTTCAGTGGTTGTGTCTGTTAATGTGTGTATATTACTATACATATGTATATTTATAAATATCAGTATGCATGTATATAGATGCACACATACACATGCAAACACACTTGAAATTGTGTCATTTGAATGACAAAGCCCCTAGGGATGCTCAGCTACTGAGATTGCTGGACTGACAAAATGTCATTTGCCATTTTAATTTGTTATTAAAGGGAACCTTTCTCAGTAGAACTGAGGAGCTTCCAAATTGTTCCATTGTACTGGTTTTACTATCTCATTTTGGAGATAAACAGGGAAATAAAGTATTTATAATGTTGATAAAATAAATTTTGTAATTTAATAGCAACAATTACTCTTATTATTTCATGTTTCAATGCCAGATATCTTTTTTGTGTTATTCAAGGCATGATGACGTCATACATTTTTTACTTATTATAGCATAGAATGGTAGTGGACAGGGACACCTTGTACTAGACCAGGTTGCTTAGAGCTCCATCTAAGCTGACCTTGAACACTTCCAGGGATGGGTCATCCACAATTTCTCTGGGCATCCCTCAGTACTGTGAGATGTGAGGCTGAGTTTTTGTTTATGTAAAACAGGGGTCCAAGGCAAATTTTGCCTGTTCCAAAACTGGTGTCAGACTCCAGTGGATCTTTCATCATTTCATGTGGTGTTTTGCTTGTCTGTGTTTTAGCACTTTAAGATGTCTGTAGGTGTTTTTACTGGGACTGTCACTCTTACTTTTCCCCAGTAGCAGTGAAATTGTTCAGTCCCAACTCATGGTGCTGTAGCCTGGATTCAGTCTACATGAGATGTCCCCTGCTACATGAGGACTGTCATACAGAAGGACCATAGTACAAAACGGAAAGAAAATAGTACAAAATTGATGTTTCGTTGCCACTGATCTTCCCAGGTGTATTTGCTGAGCTGGTACTGCTGTGTAAGAACAGATGGGGCACATAGTTTTTCTGGTGGTGTGGCTGTAGGAGGATTTTTCAGTAATATTTCATGGCTCTTTGGCTCACTTTTGTCTTTTTGCTGTGATGGTGAAAACATATGGCAGTGAAAGTTTCTAACACAAATTCATCTAGAAGGTGGCTGTTTCCCTTTCAGCCATCCCAGATGCCTTCTGTGAGACATGCTTATGAGTTGACCCTTCCAGGATGACAAAAGTATGTTGACATGATCTGTCTCTGGGGTATGAAATGGGAAAGATACATTGGCAGCCTCAAGTTTTCTGGGAGTTTAATAGTACTCAAGAAATGTATGGGCATGCTGGAAATTTGAATGCCTTGAAAAAATTCCCAGGAAATTCTGTCCTTGTACTCCATATACTACAAGAAAAAAACAGTTCCTTGTGCTGATCCATTTGAGGTGTGCCATTTTCCTTCTCCCACTTTTTGCTTCTTTTGCACCAAACTAACATCTATAGAGAAGTATTTGATAAGACTTGTTTTAAAGCTTGCTAAAAGTAACATTTTGACCTCCATTTTACCTGTTCTTTGCCATTCATAAGATAATGTTTCCTCTTTTCATTTTCTTCAGTGAATCTGAGCCAAAATTACACTGAGTTACTAACTTCCAAATTAGTCTAAAGTAGCAAATGTGAGTATCTTTGGACATTTCAGCAGTTCTGGAAACAGCTTATATTCCTGGGCCTTTCTGGATGCATGTGAAGCTATAGGAAACAGTATTAGAGTGGTTATTGTGGTACTCATCATCTCATTTCTCTTTCTTAACAACTATTTTTCTTAGCAATGGATTGCTACAGCCTTAAATTCCATGATCTGCCTGCCAAAATCTGTTGATTGCAGCAGCTACTCAGTGATGTTCTGCAAACTACTCCAGGTGGCCATAGCAAGTGACCATGGCTGCTTTTAGTCCAGGTTCTGCCGTGGC